CTGTACAAGAAGCATTGAATCTGAGAGAAGAAACAAATATTTAAGAGAGAAGAGAAAATATTTGAGAGAGAGCGCATGTTTTGAGTGTGAGCATTATAAGTTTTGAGTGCAAGAAGATGAAATTCTTTTCTCAAATTGAAATTATGTGCTCTTGCATTATGGCAGGATAATTCTCCCATATTAGACACCTCAAACATGGTGATAAGAAATCAAGAAAAGAAGAGTTTTGGTTGTACAGGGACTTCTTTCCAGCCACACCACAAGCACAGTAAATCAAACAAGACAACCTTGATGCTCATCAAGCAAAGGTCCCTATGGACAGTTTCTTAAAACTGATACGGCATGTGAGAACCTTTATTGTCATCGGAGGATTCAGGTGGCTGAGAGGCATTAAGAAATAGACTAATCATCCAGGTGACAATTTTGAACTGATAATAGTGCTTTTTTGTTAAATTTGTTAATAAATGTTTGAGACTTTTGTAACATTTGTTTTCATCATTTCATTTTTTTACCCCATGGAGAACGAGAAAACAATATAGAACAAGAAAACAATACAGGTGCAAAATAAGAACTGGCTCTAATAAATATGCAGCACATATTGGTTGGAATGATGTCTAAAATAATCCACATGGGTCAAAAAAAAGAAAAGAAAAAACCTAAATCGCTAATTATTATGGAACTTCGTTTTATACAGCTTTGCAACAGTGAATGAGCAGCAGCTTAGCTGTGAAAAAGAACATTTCCATTCATAAGGTGCAGCAGTGATCAAATGTAAACTGTGTGGAAGAGACAGGATGCAAAAAGGCATTGATGTGGAAGTTCAGAGCAGTGCAAAAATAAATATATATGGTGCAAAAATACAATAGAAAACATTTGATTTGAGTTCTAAAAAGTTATACTGGTTTTTACTGCTCCTTTAGGTCAGGATCACAAAGTAAAGAACGCTTCTACAGAACCACATCTGAAAAACACTACATGGAAGAACAGCAGCAATGATCGGGATAAAGTGATCTGTACATCATCAAGAACAACTGACAAACTCATGGGAAAACAACTGAGATGAAAAGACTTTGTTCTGAGTTAGAAGCAGATCCTTTTCCTTTAATGTCTGGATTACATTTCTTCCACCTGAGATTTCAGAGCTTCGCTAACAGCCACACAGCTGGATGCAATCAAGACGCGGGGAGCGTCGTCTGTCTCTTTTGGACTCAGATGTGTCCTAGTTTGGGTGTGCTGTGTGACTCTGACATGGGGACCAGTGTTGGGACACATGTAGGCCTGGGGAGAGATCCAATCCAAGCTTGGTCTTGAACGCATCAACAGCTCGGATACAACATGTGAACTTTGGTAACTTTGTCACCATCGGCGCTTTAGCAAAGAGATCCAGACCTTCACAGAGCCGATGTGTCACATCGACTTTGTAAAAAAAAAAAAAATCTGTTTTAATTAACAGAGTATGTTTTCCACAGGAAAGACTTCCATGTAATATATTCAACTTTCTTGGGATCCCTTGAAGTCATCTTTATCAGTAGCTATCTGGGTTTCCTGAAGATCTCCAAAGGGTTCCTCCAAAGTTTGACAGCTTCCATGATTGTTTTACTTGTAGGGTATGCAACAACAATTTTGCAATTGATACAGGTTGGATGGATGTTTTATTTTACTTACAAAGTACAATAACATTTATAAACTGCTTTGTTTAAATAGCATTTTAAAGAAGGAAAAACAAGCATCAGGAGGATGGACAATATTGACTAAGAATGTAATCAGACTGCTTTGTAAAATTATTGATATAATGATGACACTAATGATAGAAACTTAGGAATGTGAATTGTTAAGAATTTGGTGATAAGATACATGTGTAACAATTACATTTATGCGGATATATCCTAAAATAGTGCAATAAATCTAGTGTTACTTACATCCTTAGTAACTGTATGACTGCTTGAAAAACAAACCTAGACACATGTTGCATTAAGAAATTAGATTTTTATCACTAAAGTGTGAATTGTAAGTGCTTTGATTTATTTATTTGTCTTTTTTTTTTAATTTTTTGATTGTTCACAAAGAAAAACCACCATTGCATAAATATAAAGAACAGGAATTATGTTAATAATGTGTCCGTTTGGGAGGGTTTTCAAACATCATGAACCAGAGTTTACAGTTTTATCATATTCTAAAAGGTAGAAAGTAGCAGCTTTGATGCTTCAAGTAAAAAATAAAATACATGACCTAGTAATAAGCAAAAAAATTGCTAATTTGATTACTGCATTATTTGGGTTTTAACAAGCCTTTTACAGATTTTGAGGCACATCTTGTGAAATCAAGCTTTTAATAAATTCCAATGTGCAGAGAGTCATTTGTTTAAAACAATAAACCTCATTATTTTTGCAATGAAGATTAATTATCCCTTCACTGAGGTCTGATTTTTGTCCTTTTAAGCAAACAAGTAATTTATTTCAAGCCTTGGATTCGGTTTCATGTTGAAAAATGGGTTTATCATCAGGCCCTGAGCATTGATTAATATATGAATAGTTACCTAAAACAGAAAATATATATAGTATATTTTCATGTTGAATTTAATTCAGTTTAACATAAAATAAAATAAAAACACACAGAATCAATCTGTTTCTAAAGTAAATATAGGTTTATATCTGATTTGTGAAGCTAAATAGAACAGTATTAGCCCCGCCCACTAATTAAGAGCTGACCTGATTAAATAATCAGGTTTTAACAAGAGTCTCGCAAAAATATCAGAAGACTTGGATAAACTTCGAAATTAGATCATTATAGTAACTTTTCATAACTTAATCAAGCAAATCATTTAAAAATATCTAGATATTCGTTTCTAGACGCACTGACTTTTTCTTTGTTGTTTTTTTTTGTTGTTTTGGGCGTCTTTACTGCTGCAGACCAGCATCAACAGGTCAGGAAAAAATTCAGAACATTTCAAAAACTGAGATGAGATGAGATTTAAAAACTTTAAATGCGTTTATAATAAATATTTCATAAAACACGAAGTAATATTTTCCTGTAAATTTCGTTAATTCCTCATAATTCCTGCAGACCACAGACCTACTGGGGAAAGGTTGACCACTAGGGGCTCCACAGGTGAGTCTCCCTACCTGTTGGCAGCATCCCGGATCCAGACGCGCCTCCAAACTCCTCCTCGGATGAAGAGGCGCTCCTGGTCAGCAAGCTGAGGAAACAAACTGTCCATGTTACCCAGACAGACATCTCCAAGCCTTCAGTCCTCCTTCCTGCAGACTGGGAATCTTCCTCCTGGAAACCAGCTCCAGTCACACTGAAGCAATCAAAGCAAAGCGAGGAGCATCTCTCTCATCTGAGTTAAGATGAACAACTGGTCCGTTTCTCCAACAGCTGTAGCCTGCTCTTCTCCTTCTCCTGCATCACATCTTCACCAAGGAGCCAAACAACAAGCTCCGCCCACTTCTCTAAAACGCTGCCCAATCAGAACCCCGTCCGCATCTCATCTTCAGGCCACTTGCCAGGACAATGAGTGCGCATGTCGGGGATCAGAAACCTGCAGGTTGTGTCGATGAAAAGATGCTGAATCGATGTCAGTCAACTTTATTTTACACGGCAATGCTCATCACCTAAAAAAGTTGATTGTTTTCCTTTTCCAGATAAAAAAAAAATAGTTTAACCTGACAACACATCTTTATACGGAAGAGGATTATGGCCACTGAATAATAAAAAAAAGTTATCCGATTTTTTAATATTATTTCATTTTAATATGGGGGAAAAGTCAGAATTTATCTCAGAATTCTGACTCAGAAATCTGAGATCTCTAACAAACATCTTAGCATCAAGCTGTGGCCATGTCTGTTTTAGAGACTGAACTAGCTCTCTTGTTTTAATCACATTCTGCTCTTCCATATATGAAATAGCATCACCGGGGAGCCCTCAGGCACCTGAAAAGTCATCCAACTGTGAAATTAAAGTCAGAGAAAAAAAAGGTCAGAATTCTGCAAGAAAAAAAAAGTCAGAATTCTGAGAGAGAAAAAAAAGTCTGAATTGTGTGAGAAAAAAAATTCTGAATTGTGTGAAAAACAAAAGTCAGAATTCGGCAAAAAAATGTAAAAATTCTGAGATTAAAGTCAGAATTCAGAATTTTTTCCCCATATTAACCTGAAATAGCATTTTTTTAAAATCTGTTACCTTTTTTTATTTTTTCAGTGGCCCTAATGCTCTTCCGTATCTTTATGAAAATCCTCAGATAAAAAAGAAATGTATATCACCTTTTCGTGTGTGGTTTCCTCCAGAAGGTTTTCTTCCATCTTCTCTGTCATCGTCATCCCCACAGCATAATGTTTGACTCGCTGGTTTAAGCAGGGGAACCCTCCGTGCGATGTATGATTTCAAACTATAATGTCTTAGTGTATTACCAACAGTAACCATGGAAACGATGATCCCTGCTCTTTTCAGGTGTAGTTCTTGGCTATTTTCTCACAATTCATTGACACCCCATGAAGTGAGACTGTGCATGGAGCCCCACTCTGAGAGAGATTGACAGTCATGTTTACCTTTTTCCATTTTCTTTTTTCACCGAGTCGCTTGGCCATTTCCCCATAGCCTTGTAGAGGTGTATAATTTAGTCTCTAGTGTTTTTGGCCAGCTCTTTGGTCTTGGCCATGTTAGTAGTTGGATTCTTACTGATTGTATGGGGTGGACAGGTGTCTTTATGCAGCTAACAACCTCTAACAGGTGCATCTAATTAAGGATAATAAATGGAGTGGAGGTGGACATTTTGACGGCAGACTAACAGGTCTTTGAGGGTGAGAATTCCAGCTGATAGACGGTTGTTCAAATACTTATTTGCAGCTGTATCATACAAATAAATTGTTTAAAAAAAAATGATATATTGTGATTTCTAGTTTTTTTTTTTTTTTTTTAAGATTCTGTCTTTCGCAGTGGACATGCACCTATGATTTCCCTCCATGATTTCTGTGTGGGAGAACTTGCAAAATAGCAGGGTGTTCAAATACTTATTTTCCTCACTGTATTTAT